CTGGATTATTAAGCATGGATCAGGATATATTAATCATTAATTTTTCTCTGATCAAAATTAGCATATTCAAATTATATTTAGCTTATCCATAATTCAATTCAGTTTATTTGTATTAGTGCCAAGTCACAACAGAAGTCATCTCAGGGCCCTGAACAAAAACATAAAAATTAAGTTAATAGTGTTATTTATCTGACAACATCTTGCTCTCCATAGCCATCATCAGGAAATAATTTCAATCTGAACATCAAATGTCTGAATACAATTTCTTCTAGGTGAAACTCACATTTCAGATATCTACAATCACAATATTACTAGTCATGGGTTTTATTTTAGATATTTAAAAAAAAATCCAGGTATTTTTTACATGATTTTTCATATAAACAAGCCTTAAAGCTGTCCAAAAAAACTAATAGTAAACATTACATTCAGTATTCATAATATAACTAGTTATAATTTAAACGCTTTTAATTGGTCATACTAAAATAAAAAATTTAAAAAAGAAGAAAAACAATATTGATATGAGTGCAATGCCTTTCAGCACGGAAAAGGCGGAGCCACGTTAGTACGTAATAATTGTGCGCCACGTTAACCCTCTTACGCTCAATGTCAGCTTCACAGACGTTTTTCTACGTTTCTTTTTCAGCACTGATTGTTATATAATTTAGTTACTGTCATGCTGAGAGCTGCACACTTAGCTTCTTCTAATTGGTCTCAAGTTATCAATCCAGGGAGAATTCGCCATAGTTTACAATGCACAGGTAAGCGGTTTATCGGTTCGCCTCTAGCTAACGATGCTAAAATGCTAAAAACACTTCCCGTAAACCCACAATTGTGCGAATTGTGCAACAACCGATTTAGTTAAAACTATATCCCACCCATTGTTTAGTTAATTTAAACATGTTCGGAATACAAAAAAACAGGTACATGCTCTGTTTATCGTAATCTTGCAAACGTTTTCACGGTTGGTTGGTTTATGTAGAAAAAAAAATCATTACACACACTACACACACTTGTTCAAGCATCCGGTGAGAACAGAGGTTGGATTTTAAAAAGCTGGGAAGTCATACGTGTTCTTTTTTTTTTTTTTTTAATGCTTGTTTAGGCCCACTTCAGCACGGCTCTCGTGCTTTCAGTGTCGTGCCGCCGCCGCGCGACGAGGAGGAGAGGGAGGCGATGCACCGCATGCTGCGCGTGGACCATGCGGGTGAATACGGTGCTAACCGCATCTATGCGGGACAGATGGCAGTGCTGGGTCGGTCACGGACTGGACCTCTCATCCAAGTATGGAAACCATGTGGCTTCAAGTGCCCTGTTTGACCACAAAAGTAGAAAACGTTTTATAAACTACACTAGAAAATTACTTAACTTTTTTTTTTTTTTTTTAACTGAATGGACAGTTTTTGAGAGTTTTCTGTTTGTGCAATCCTGGATAATATTTAGTCCCAAATCAATATTTCCAACAAATTTACTATTGAGCTGAAAATAATCAATCAGCTGAGAAATATTATCAGTTTATTAAAGCAAAGCTATTTGGCCTGGGAGACATTAATGTTCTCTGTTGGTGTTGCTCACACTTCATTTAGTCAACGTGTTTGCAATGAGAGATGAACATATTTATTTGTTTTTGCAAAATTAGACAGTAAGTCATCAATAGGTTAACTTTTTTTTTTTTTGAAAGTAAACAATTTAAACCCAAAGCAAAAATAACAATATCACCCTAAAGTTCAGCTACATTAAAGTTGTAACCAATTTGGTTGACAAAATTGTTATATATGATGTTATATACATCACTTAATATCACAAGACGTAACGCTCAATGTGTATTTAAGTTCAGTATCGTAAAATTGGCTGAATTAGAGCCATTTTTGTGTTTTAAAAGGTCATTTGGCTGTGACGGACATCTTTTTTGGCTCGTTTCATTAAAACCCACCAGTGGTTCATGAGATATTTTGCTGTCAGATGGACACGTTGACATAGGCAGAAATATAATCCCCTTAGTCTTTCAGTGGCTGACAATAATAAACCTATGATGTGCATTGATTTCTGTGCAGACTGAGGCAGAATGATAAACAACAAAATCTAAAAGGCTTTAGTAGTAGAACAAGACAGAATGTGGAGGTGAGCTCAGTGACCAAAATACAGTTTCTGCAAGTTAACCTGACTTTTCCAACGTGACTCAAAAGTGTCTTCAGAAAATACTTTTTAGCTCATTTAGTTGTGATTTTAAAAACCACAAACAAAAATGCATGCGTTTTTCTTATCCAGCCGTGTAACTTCTCACGTTTCTGTTTCTGTAGCACATGTGGGATCAAGAAAAAAAGCACTTAGCCAAATTCAATGAAATTCTTGCTGAGAACAGGGTTCGACCCACAGCCCTGCTGCCTCTCTGGAACATCGCCGGCTTCGTCTTAGGTTGGCACGACCTATAAGCATTTAAAACAAGATTCAAAGGCTCTGTTACCATTTTGTGTTTTAATGTTTTGTTTTTGTTCTTTATACATCTCCTAGGGGCGTCCACTGCTCTGCTGGGAAAGGAGGGGGCCATGGCGTGCACGGTGGCCGTGGAGGAGAGCATCTCTGAACATTACAACAGCCAGATAAGAGCTCTGATGGAGAATGATCCAGATAGATACCTTGAACTGTTACAGGTGATTAAAATGTTTCTTTTATACTGGGTCTAGCTGACTGGGACTGTTCTGAACAAACACATGCTCTGTCATTAAAATAACCTTGATCGCTGTAAGGTTGTTCAAACGAAAAGGTCTAAAGGCCAAATCTGTGTGCATGTTTAAAAAAAATGCAAAACAAGGGTTCACACTTGGCTGTATATATTCAGAGTTAGATGTAGACTAAACAAAAACAAATTAAACCTTGTGTGCTAGTTCTTTCACAGAGGATTTATTCCAAAACAACATTAAACACGTCAACACTTTGTCATGGTGAAGTATTAGGGAGACATGAAGACCCAGCTTGTTGATTTTTTTACTATGTATTACAAAGACATGTCCAGTAAACCTCAAGGATGAGACGGTTCCAAGCGGCATCATCTATCTTACCTAAGATTGTCTGAGAGTGTCTGTTTGAGCTATCAGCAAGACAAAGATAAGACCATCATCCCACAGTAATTACCAGTAGAAGGTAGCATCACTTAGCCTACACCAGGGGTCTGCAACCTGCGGCTCTTTGGTCCCTCTGCAGCGGCTCGTTCAAGCTTTGACCGAAACCGACCTAAAACTGAATTTTATTGGTTGTACAAACAACAAAAATTGATTAGTTCAAACAGTTTTCCTGTCATTTCTTTTGCAAATATGTGAACACTGGAGTGAGTACAAGGAGTAAAACATACTTTAACTTGACGCTTTATTTCTTTATATGAACAACTGTCTGCATAGTATAGATTTTTTAAAATTTTTATAAACAAAATGGTAAAAACTGATTTTTTTTCCCACCTTCTTTACAAGGATCTAGTCCTTTACTTTAATAAATGTTAAAAATTAGACATTTTTTGCTTTATAATGTCACCCCTACTGGCTACAAAAGCCCCCTCCAGAAAGCTTAAAGTGGCCCACGGGCCACCAGTTGATAACCACAGTTGTAGCAGGTTGTTGTGGCTCCGGACACGTTTAATGTCGTGAACGAAAGCGTAAAATTGGCTCTTTTGATCTTAAAGGTTGCAGACTCCTGGCCTACGCTCGCACTGTAGGTGAAAGTGGCCCAAATCCTAACTTTTGTGCAGTCTATGGCCGTTTAAACGTCACAAATCCAAATGATTTTCAAATCAGTCCTCAAAAGGTCTGATTTGAATTGAGGTCTGATCCGTCCTAAATTTTGATGTTTTTCAAAGCGAACGCATTCTGATTTTTGACCCGACTTTGACGTCATTGAAACGTGACGGACAATCATGCAGGGAAACGGCGAGCTCGGGTGTAAACATTGACTGAAACAAGCACGGCAGATAATAATGTCGACTCTTGATCGCACAAACTGTGCAGACTTGATCCACACGCTGACATGCGCAGCATCCATATTTAGTTCTGTAAACACGGCGTGCTGCGTGTGATGTCACATCGTCTTCTGCACACGTGGGTCACTTTAAGACCTGCAGTGAACACAGCCTTAGTGGGCAGCACGAGCTAACATCAACATGTGAACACGTGTACCGTTCTGTCACCTCCTAAAAAAAAAAAAAAAAAACTCAGTAAACCTTCATTTTCGACAACACACCCAGAGAAAAAGGCAGCGTCTGCAGGTTTGATTTAAAAGTCACTGATTTTCTGTGGCACTTAAAAGACAGAGAGCATGACTTAAAAAAGATTATGGTTTTAGATTCCTCACAGTCATCTAATACACCGAATGGAAAAAATCTTGTTCGTCACGCTTTAATAAAACTTGAGATTTAGATTTTCTAACTCAAGCTATGACGCAAACGAAACGTTCCAACTTATTTAGTAACTTCCTTCCAATAGGTGATCAAAGAATTCAGAGATGATGAGATGGACCATCATGATACTGGACTGGAGCACGATGCAGAATCAGTAAGTTTATTTTAAATTTTCTTCTCAGATAATCCACAATTTCACGAAAGTCTTGTGAACACATAAATCTATTACCATATTTTTCGCTGTTTAAGTCGCACCTTTTTGCATAAATTTGCACGTCCTGCGACTTATACACAGAAGCGACTAATATACGTTTTTTTTCCCCACATATCTATAACCCAATTTTTGTCTGAGATCTGACGATTTCATTCATTCTGACATGAAAAATATTAAACCATTACATTACCATTTACAGCCACTAGAGGGCCCTCGTGCTGCCAAGTGTCTCATTAATAGGTAAAATTTTACGAAGCACACATCAGATCAGCTGCATTTCGCCGTGCCACTCAGGCGAAATGCAGCTGATTTGAGCGTTAAAGTGACGTAAAGAAATGCACAGCGAGTCCTCCCTCTGCGCGCTCCCGCATCCACGTATCGAATTTTGAAATGCAGCTGGTTTGACCATTAAAGTGCATTTATTAAGGAAAAGTTAAACTGAGACACATCTTTACTATAATTTTGAGCAAACAGACAATTCTTTTTAAGTGTTAATCTTGTTAAGTTCTTGTTAAAGTCCTCCCGTGCGCACTCTCGTGGCTACCATTTTGGCAGCCAATCGATTTTTGGTGCAACACCGGCCCACATTTCTGAGTGGTCAGCGGTTTAAAGTCAGTTTTATTTTTATTAACTCCAGTGTGCAAATAGAAATTGAAGTAATTTGTAATGAAAACTTCTAAAATATGTTTTTTCTTTCAGGCACCTGGATACTGGCTGCTAAAAAATGCAATACAGCTGGGCTGCAAAGCTGCAGTCTACGTATCTCAACGGATCTAAAGCTCAACTTCACTTCATTTAAAATATATGTATATATTTTTATTCATTGTTGGACATTTGCTCATTTGAATGAGTTCTAAGTGAACGGAGGACATGATGAAGTGCAGTGTTGTAAGTTTGTTGATTAAAAGTGATAAATAAACCTGGTTTACAGGCAGGATTTTGTTTGTTTTTGACAGTTTATTGTCACGTGTGGATGATTTAGTTATGCTGAACAGTATGGAGGCCGAGATGGCCTTAACAGAAATAAATAGTTGCCCTCTGCTTATGTCTGAAAGTTATTTTTCTGTGTTGTATATATGCTAATAACAAGTCGCTTTCTGAAAAATGATGCCTAAAAAACAAAAGTTGATTAAATACACCTTTAAATATGAGTTTATGAGATGTGAAACTTCCATTTATCCAACACTTTTCGTGTTCAGATTTCATACCATTTTCTTCTTTAGTTTCTTTCCTACGTTTCTTTCAAACGACTTCATAGTTTATACAATTTTAATAAATCAGAACTTTCAGCTCCGCCATTTTAGGATTTGGGACTTTTTAAAAGTTTCTTATAAATGTTTTGCTTATTGAAACACTTTTCAATTCAGAACATTGTTCCTTTGTAAAATTTTCAGCATACTTTTTCTGTTTTAGTTTTATGCTCTTCGATATCTTAAGCTAATGACTTTGGCTAAATTTGAGTTATTAACATTTAAGTAAATGTTAGCAACAAAGCTAAACGCCAACTCACTGCCAAGCTATGGTTTAGTTTTGAGACACTATTTTCTTAAATAAAGCTTCTGGTTACAATTTAACATTAAGCTACAGTTTTTGTTTTTTTCCATATTTAGCTTTAGGCTATGATTTGTTACATTTGCCTATTGCGGTGGTTCCCAACTCTGGTCCCTGAGGAACACCGTCCTGCATGTTTTACTTGTTTCCCTGCTTGTGCCTGATTTGAATGAATGGGTGGATAAGCTTCTGCAGCACTTAAGGAAGTTATTAAATCACTAAATTAGGTGTGTTGGAGCAGAGAAACAACTGGAACATGCAGGATGGTGTTCCTCAGGGACCACGGTTCGGACCACTTGCCTACTGGTTACTGTTTTCCTACCTTCAGCCTTAAGGTTATGGTTTTACTAATTTAAGTTCTTATGGTTTAGCTAATTTTAGCTTTAAAACAGTTTAGCAATGTTTAGCTTATAGCTACTATTTTGCTGATTTAACTTTTTTTTTTTTTCCAGCTTTGCTAATCGTTTTCTGTTTTGCTTCTTTTATTCAATGGATGGTAATGAATTCAATAATTCATTGTCAAAACAATTCAGCGCTTGGCTTTTATTCTTCCTTTTTTTTGGTAATGAATCTTTTAGCTCTCTGTTTTCTTACACCTGCTAAACTCAGCAGTGTTTACTCGCTTGTCTTCGTCCTAAAAAATACCTAAAATACACGATCAGGACATATTGATCCCAGCATACTCACACCATTGTAGCCTTCAACCAACTCTCCTGTTTCACATGTAATCGTTCATAAATCACGCTGAGTGGAGGATTGTCCTGACTGAGCTGCCGAACACTCAGCTGCTGTGGGTACATCAGGTCACTGAACAAGGAGGACTGAGAAAAGGTCTTCAAACACCACCACCCCCATTCGCTCTATCAACGTGGACAATAGTCCTACACTCCTGTACTGATCACCATCTATATGCTATTTTATTTGAAATGGCCCATATGCTGATATTTTAGTGGAAAAGTGTCGTCGAGAGCTGACGAGCCCTTTTAGTCTTTTTCTAAATAAAATTTAAGAAATGTCATATTTTTGTAAATGAGATTGCCTTCTCTCATAAAAGGTGAAACTGTAAAAAAAATGTCATTTTGGAGGACATCGTTATTACACCTAATTTGTTTTTGTAGGATTGTGGGGGGAAAAGTGCTGTTTAACACAAAACATTTCATGTAGTAAAGTGCAATTTTACCATTTACTTTTTATTTATTTATTAAATTTGATTCACAGAGTTGTTTGACCCCTTCCTTTTCTCCATCATAAACCATTATCACCCAGCCTTGCAAGACTTTGTGTTTGCCCATTCTACATTTTCTCACTGGTTTTTATTGATCTCTGCTAATTTATTTATTTTTGCTTCACTGCCCCGGGGGTTAGCTGACTTACCTAAGTTTGCGCATCTATTTTGCTTGGCATGAGATCAGAGGAGCTATTTTAACTGCGCTGTGTTACCATATTTGACCTGACCTCAAGGGTTAATGTGCCGTATGGCCTCCATTCCTTCCAAATACTCTCCTTAGTACCGTCCATAACTGTGTAAAAGCTCAGTACAAACAAGCATGTTGGCTTTATTAGTCGACACTATGAGCTCGTCGTCATCTTCTAGTTGAACTGAAGATACATTTACATGTTACATACTGTATACCGGGCCTACATACATACAAGTTAGTTCTGGAGCTAATGTCATATATACTGATGATTAGGTCATTTATTGTTTGGTAGTTCAGTTTCAAGGGCTGCTTCTTATGCGTCACTTATTTCATTTTTTTTTACTAATTTTTCTATTGGTGTTTTTTAAGGTCGGTCAAAGCACCTTTTAATAGAAATATGAGCTACAATGCAAGTCTTGTCTTTCAAAATTATGTTTTAATTTGAATGTTCCTCCCAACTTTTAAATTCAGCTCTTTGTTCTTTAAAATAGTTGTTGATCAAACCTTTAGGATCTTTCTAATACGTCAAATAAATCCTAGTTTTTGTTTTCCTGTTAGTGTTTTTTTTATTTTATTTATTTTATGGGTCCTTTTTTAATCTCACTTCAGCCTGAGATTTTAGGCCTTCTTAAAAATATGTTCTTAACCACAGTAACTATTTTACCTGCTACCTGTTCAGTGTGTGCTAAAAAATTATGTAATTTGGACGAGTGGAAGACAAAAGATGTGGGCCTAAAACAAATCTTCAGAAGAATATTAATCTAAATATCTATATATCTGAATATCCTGTCTAAAATTAAAAAAACAACAAAAAAAAACAGAGAAGGCCTGAAAGATGCATCATCATCTAGTGAATTCTCCATGTCAAGTTTTCAGCTTCTTCTTGGTGTGAACATGTTATTTTTCTGTCAGTCAGTCACATGTTGTTTAATGTTCATCTTGAATTCAATGAAATAAATGATTGCAATTTGTGCTTTTGTGACTGGTTCTTGGCAACAAGCGTCTTAAACTGGTTCCTTAAAGCAGTCCGTTATGTATCGACTCAAAACTGATTTGTTTCCTTGGATTAGGAATCTTCTGATGCACAAAAAATCCAACAGTCAAAAGCCGGTGTGTTAAGCTGGAGAAGCATTTACCTGAAAATGTTCAGGTGAGAGGACTGACTCCATCTACTACCCTCAGGCAGACGATACAGGAGCCTCCATCGCACACGAAAAGACTCAAAGACAGTTACTATCCACAAGCTGTCAGATTACTGAACCCTTGATAATAATACTGAACAACTAACAATGACATTGCACTAAGCCACGTCTGTGACAGCTAATATTATTGCTGCTGCACTATGTGGCTGTATTCATTCATTCAACCTTTATTTATACAGGTTAATCCCATTGAGCCTCGGGGACTCATTTACAAGAGAGACCTGATTTCTTAACAAGTCAGGTCTCATGTATCATGTATGTCACTACCGTACCATAATAATTCAATTAATCTCAGTGTTACTCATTACCTGTGCAACACAACCTGTGTAGTTCATGTTATGTGCAATATATATATATATCGTGCATTGAAGCTTATGTTACTACTTGTGAAATACTTATTCATTCTAATTCATCCTACTTGCACCATTATATTCTATGTTGTTTATTATTTTTCTTTTGAACCTTGTGAATATTATATTTCTTTTTCACTTTTTGCTGCTTTATTTTGTACCTTTATTACATGCTTTAGTATTTCTTGTTGTTTTGTTTTTAGCAAGTCAAATCGGTTCTTCTCATCCTGGACATTTCATTGCACTGTTGAGCCTGTGTTAACCTGCTTATGACAAAAAAAAATCAACATAAATCAGTTGGACACTTTATGGGTCCAGAATGATCCAATTGACTTAAAGGTCACAGGTCACCTCTCTGTTAAAACGTCGTCTGTGCTCCAGTTTGACGTACCAGTAAGAGAAATCAAACTCTTTGTTCCCTACATGATGCTTATCCAGCCTTAAGACTATCCACAGGAAGTTGTCTGGTCCAAATGTTTAAGATAGAAAACATCAGACCATGGCTCCACTTTGGCTCTTATTTTTGTTTAGACCATTTCCACCAAAAAAATCTCCAGTGTCTCTGGTGAAGTCCACTCTGATGATAAAATGGTTCGGATTGGCTGAATGTCATCAACAGGTAAGTTCTTCACATTGTAACTGAGAAATCCACTTGCATATATGGGAACTGATCTTTCACCCCACCACTATGGGGTGCTGTTTGTAAAGTTACACAGTCAAAAATTAACTGCAAGATTTTTGGTTTATTTAGCCATTCATAAGAATATATATATATATATATATATATATATATAATTTTTTTTCCAAGTCATATTTTCACCATGTTATTCATACATTTATAAATGTCATAGTTCAAAACTAAATATTTAATTTACAAGCTAAATATTTAGTTTACAATCTAAATACTTTACTTTTTTCATCCGTTCAACCTTTATTTAGACAGATGAGTCACATTGAGCCTAGAAGACTCATTTACAAGTGAGATCTGTTTAGACACACAAAAAGTAATGAAACTGGACACATGTAGGAATTGGAGGCGAAAACATTTCTATCAGACTTTTTTCTTCCTGCCTGAGAAAAAAAATTAATATTTAAAAAACACCTCGCACAAACAAGCACATAGTGACGTAGACATTCTGTAGGGGGGGGGGGGGGACGAGAGCGGTGAGCATGTCCATGGACGCTCTCAAAGGCACGGTAAGAGTTCTGATAAGGATGGAATAATCAGCCAGCATCCTCCGGTGAGATCCGTAAACATTCTCGAGGGATGTCGAGGAATGGCTAAGGATAATGTCTATGAGAATCCAAGAGTCCTGAAATGATGACTCAAGTTTATTCAGCTGGTTTCATCTGGTTATCAGTTGGAAATTCCTCAGTGGGTGCTGAGTGGGTGATCTCGGCAAGAGCAAGTGA